TATTCATTTATTGAGATTTTCTTTAATTTTTTCCAGCAATGTTCTATCATTTTAGTGTTCAGATATTGTACTTATTGTATTACATATTGCAAGGTACTCCTTTTAATATTATTGTGAATAAAATTGACTTCTTAATGTCATTTTTTGGATTGTTAATTACTGTTATATAGAAACACAACTGATTTTTGCATAAGGTTGTGTTTTACAATGGGGCAAAATTCACTTATCAATTCCAGATTTTATTTTCAGATTCCTTATAATATCATCTGTAATTAAAGACAATTTTATTTCTTCCTTTCCAATCTGTATGCCTTTATTTTTCTTGCCTTATTGCTCTGGTTAGAACCTCCAGTAGAACCTCCATTGAATGCATGCAGCAAGTGTGGGCATCCTTGCCTTATTCCCAGTCTTGGGGAAAAAGCATTCATTCTTTCACCATTAAGTACTGATTGGTTTGCTATATTCCATGACTTTTGATATGTTTTTAAATTAAGTTAGAAATATTTTTAAAATTTCCTATTGTGATTTTTTTCTTTGACCCATGGGTTATTTACAAATGTGTTGTTTAATTTCCAAATTATTTCAAATTTCCAAATCGTTTAGATTTTCTATTTTTGTTATTAGAATTGATTTTTGAATTAGAATTGATTTCTAATCCAATTCTGTTTTGAGCAAAGATCATCCTTTGAATGATTTTAATGTTTTTAAATATATTCAGCTTTTCAATGGTCTAATGTGGAAGTCAGCAACTTTTTCTTAAAGGGTAAGATATTAATGAACATTGTAGACTTGAAGCCATATAATTTCTGTTACTACTTGTCTTAGTCTGTGTTGCTACAAAAGATCACCTGGGGCTAGATAATTTATAAGGAAAAGAGGTTTATTTGGTTCATGGTTCTGCAGACTTTACAGGAAGCATCGTGCCAGCATATGCTTCCAGTAAGGCTTCAAGAAGATTTCACTTATGGCAGAAGGTGAAGGGAAGCTGGCATGTCACATGGCAAGAGGGAGCAAGAAAGAAAGGAGAGGGATGTCATGCTCGTTTTAACAGTCCGTTCTCATGAGAACTAATAGAGGAAGAACTTAACTCATTACCATGAGGACAGCACCAAGATATTCATGAAGGATCCATCTCCATTACCAAAATAGCTCCAACTAGACCTCATCTCCAACACTGGGGATCAAATTTTAACAGGAGGGGACATATATCCAAACTATATCACTACTCAACTCTGCTGTTTCAGGATGAAAGGAACTATTGACAATAGGTACAGAAATGAATGTGGACATGTTTCAATAAACATTTATATATGAAAATAGGCAGCTGAATAAGCACATGAAAAGATGCTCGACGTTATTAGTCATTAGGAAAATGCAAATCAAAACCACAATAAGATACTACCTCATACTCACTGGAATGGCTAGAATCAAAAACAGAGAGAATAACAAGTATTAATGACAATAGGGAGAAATTGGAACCCTCTTAGAATTCTTAGAATTTTGAATCACCATATGACTCAGCAATTCCACTCCTAGTTATATACACAAACAACTTGATAACAGGGACTCAAACAGATACTTGTAATTCATTGCTGCATTTTTCACAATAATCAAAAGGTAGAAACAACTAAAGTGTCTGTCAATAGATGGATAAACAAAATATATATACATATAATGGAATATTTTTCAGCCATAACATGTAATGAAGTTTTAACATATGCTACAATATGAACATTGAAAACATTATGCTAAGTGAAATAAGCCAGAAATAAAAGGATAAATATTGTATAGTTCCACTTATATGAAATATCTAGAATAGATAAACTCATAGAGACAGAAAGTAGAGGGGCTGGAGAGAGTCTGGAATGGATTGTTTAATGGATAGAGTTTACATTGGGAGTGACGAAAAAGTTTTGGGTATAGATAGTGGTAACGTTTGCACAACATTTTGAATATAATTAATGCCACTCAATTGAACACTTAAAAATGGTTTAAAAAAAAAAACTAGGCAGCTGATCCTTGGGCTCTAATTTACTAACCCATGGCCTAGAATATTACCTATTTTGGATGATATTCCATGTGTGCTTAAAAAGAGTGTATATTCTGCTGTTGTTGGGTGAAGTATTCTACAAACGTCAGTTAAAGTTGATTATTGCTCTCTCTCTCTTTTTTTTTTTTTTTTTTTTTTTTGTGACAAGGTCTTGCTCTATTGCCCAGGTTGAGTGCAGTGGTGCAGTAATAGCTCACTGCAACCTCCACTTCCTGGGCTCAAGCCGTCCTCCCACCTCAGCTTCCTGAGTAGCTGGGACTACAGGTGCATGCCTCCACACCCAGCTAGTTTTCCTTTTTTTTTTGTAGACATAAGGGTCTCACTGTGTTGCTTAGGCCAGTCTTGAACTCCTGGGCTCAAACAGGAGCCTTGGTTCCTCCAGCCTTGGCCTCCCAAAGTGCTGGGATCACAGGCATGAGCCTCCATGCCCAGCCTTAACAGTGTGTTTTCTCCAGAAATTTATTACACACAGGCCGGGCGCGGTGGCTCAAGCCTGTAATCCCAGCACTTTGGGAGGCCGAGACGGGCGGATCACGAGGTCAGGAGATCGAGACCATTCTGGCTAACACGGTGAAACCCCGTCACTACTAAAAAAATACAAAAAACTAGCTGGGCGAGGTGGCGGGTGCCTGTAGTCCCAGCTACTCGGGAGGCTGAGGCAGGAGAATGGCGTGAATCCGGGAGGCGGAGCTTGCAGTGAGCTGAGATTAGGCTACTGCACTCCAGCCTGGGCGACAGAGCGAGACTCCGTCTCAAAAAAAAAAAAAAAAAAAAAAAAAAGAAATTTATTACACACAATCTTTGGCCCAAAGAGAGCAACAAAATACTTTGGGATTGTTTGTGTCACAACAATGGATCACTCTTTGTCTTAGAGTTGCTCAAATGGTAGAATTAGAACAGTGTGCACATATCCTAAGTCCATCCTCATTCGCAGGGGATGATATTTCTCTAGCAAGCAAGACTTTGCCCAGGAAGAAGCCTAGGATGGCCAGCCCAGGCTATCACAGGAGCCAGTGGCCTCCTAAGTCAGGCTGTTGAGTACATGGCTTCATGGTCCTCTGTGCCTGAATCTCAACTACATCTATGGAATCCCAATATGCCAGTAGTATTCATTCATTAAATAGTCCATTAAATATAAGTGACCACCTACTGTGTGCCTGGCAGTGTCAGGCAATGGAGATTCAACAGTAAACAAACAAGACTTTTAAAATATAAATGTCCTTTTAATACCATGCTGTGTTTTGAAAGCTTTTATTTCGTATTGGGCTTTTTGATGCTAAGGCAATATGATCTTGGTAGGTAGGGCAGAACCTTTATTTCCCTGCAGGGTACACAGCGAAATGATACACCATTTCTCTCCTAGGAAATGAGATATGTGGAGATCATCAGCTTGTTTGTCATTAGATATGGTAGAACTATATTGGATAACCAGTGTTCTCTTAACTAAGGTCCTGACTAGCTATTCACCCACTCCCTCTCCCCACTTCTCTCTCCATCAACCCCCACACTTTCACATTAGGTGAAAAATTGTTAGGGTGATGACAGCTTCTATAGGTACAAGGAAGGTAGGGATGAAAGAGAAATCTACCTCTGATCAATACAGCTGTATCATCATAAATAATTTAATCACTTTCTCTGTCTTTAGTTTCTTTGATCTGCTTCTCTCATCATGCCTGGTTGTGTTACTGCCATAAAAGTTTGCTCTTTGAGAGGATGAAGAACCTTCTAGTCATACCTCAGTAATCATCCTGGGGCAAAGATCCACTTTGTATTACTCCTCCTGCCTAATGCCTCATAGCTAAGCATCAACGTTTTTTACCATCCTGAAGGTTCCTGGTTGCTGCTTTGAAATGTTCGAAACCAGAAATAAATGAAGTTTCTTATTAGGCTGACCCTAAGAGCTATCATCCTGTTGTTCTTTATTTATTTTAGAAGATTGCTTATTTTGTGGGTATAGAGGGAGGCAAGCTAGAGAGAGGAAGAGGGATACTTTATAGCATCTCAGATTCAGTTCAAGTATTACTTTTAGGGGCACTGAGTGAGGAGATAGGGTATATTAGGAGGTAGTAATTAGTATAGGGTTGGCTACTGTCTGATGATCAAACATGGAGTTCATTGGCTCTAGCAAAATGATAAATCAGGTCCATTTTTCTATTTTGCCACTAACACATATTTTAAAAATCGTCTTGCTGTGCCAGGGTTCCTCAATAAAAGGCACAGCTCTTATCTCCATTAAATTGAAATTTAAAATGTTAATAACACCAATATATGCTACTGACTTATTGATTAAACTGAGTATTTGGTAGAGCTTGAGCACTGTTGTTCTAGCTCTACCAAAAAGAGGAAAATATCTGGGAAGAGATTCACAAAGTAGAAAAAAGGTGCTAAGAAAGGAGTCTATACACATCACACATATACACACATCTATACACACACACACACACACACACACACACACACACAAATAACATTGACTTTGAGGAGCAGGAAGGACAAGTTCTTGGCAGAGAGGCTGGCATCTTTTCATCTGTCCCTAAATTACACACTGATCAGCCAATGCAAGGAGGGGAGCTGTGATTTGTTTGTTTGTTTATTTATTCATTTATTTATTTATTTGAGATGGAGTCTCACTGTGTCACCCAGGCTGGAGTGCAGTGGCATGATCTTGGCTCACTGCAACCTCTGCCTCCCGGGTTCAAGCAGTTCTCCTGCCTCAGCCTCCTGAGTAGCTGGGATTACAGATGGCTGCCACCACTCCCGGCTAATTTTTGTATTTTTAGTAGAGACAGGGTTTCACCATGTTGGTCAGGTTGGTCTCAAACTCCTGACCTTGTGATCCCCCCACCTCAGCTTCCCAAAGTGCTGGGATTACAGGTGTGAGGCACTGCGCCTGGTCATTTGTTTTTAAATCACCTTTTTCTGAGTAAAATCAAGGCCACAAAGGGGAAAGTATGTTGAGAATTGTATTTGTTAACTGATTTTCTGCCTAAAAAAAAAATAACTACCATATTCTTCTCCTAGAGAGCTATCTTTTTCCAAGTCTTGGTGTTCTTGATGCTTCCCTTCTCATGGACTCTGCTTTTCTTCATTAACTTCTTTTCTGAATCCATATTTGAAATGGAGGCTTCTGTGTCTTTTGTGATTTGAAGTGAATATACTCTATTTTAAGGACTCAAACCACTTTTGTGGCTCCTTTCCCCAATGCCCACAACATTTAAGCACATCTCTGACTGGTGCTCTGCAGCTCCTAGGTGTTCTGAAGTTCCTCCCACAGCTCTGTTGGCTGTGCACTCTGGCAAACAAAGATGAAGAGCTCAATAGTTTGAAAGGCTTGTCTAGGGTCAGAAGGTAATCAGAATTAATAACAGACCAAATATAACCCACAACAGCCCAGCCACAGCCTGAGGCTCTTTTTCTGAATTAATACCTCTTCATTTACTGTGACATGCATGGTTTTGAATGCTATCAGGGAAAATATTTTTATTATATTTTCCGTTGCAGAAGAATCTTCTACTATGATTTTCTTCTCAACACATTTCTGGAATGCAGTAGCAATATTTATAAATATTCCCTTAGAGAAACAATATGGATACATTAATATAAGTGATAAGCATATTTTCTGCAAATATATCTATTTTAGCATTTCACCAACTTGCTAGGGGAGAACTTTGTGTTTCACAAGGCATTTGTTTACTCTTGAAAAGGAAAACTGTTGACGTTTTCCTTCCAATATGCTTATCTTTAAAGATTTATAATATAAAATATTCTCAGTGTGATACGTACTTATTTGAACTATTTGAATTTCTTGTGATTCCAAATGGAATTTTACCTTTCTTTTTCAGTATTCTCTTAAGACAAATTTGGTTTACTCTTATGAAAAGAAACACTTTTTATTTAACTGTAAAACTACTCATTGAGTAAGAGTAACAAGCTGTAAATAATTTGTTACATATTATCCCATTTTTTGGTTAACAATGAAACAAAAATGACTATCAAATATAAAGTATTAATATCTAACACATATTGAGTCCAAAAAGTATTTACTCAACGAATAAATGAACAAATGAATAAATATACTTACTTTACAATGGGAGAAACTGAGGTCAAAAGTGTTAGCCACAATCTGGTATACTATAATCCAACTAAAAACTATCTAACCATCTAATTCAAATGTTGTTTTCCCTTGTTTTATTTAGAAGACAAATGAAAGCTTTAGTACTGAATATTTTGAAAGAGAAACCTGAGAATAATGCCTTGTGGGGAGAAAAGCTTCAAATTAAAATTTCAGAATAAAAATAAGGAGAAAAATAATTTTACTCAAACACCCCTTTGCCTTTCCTTTACTCTTAAATTTAAGAGTCTCAAATAACCATTTAAATACTATGAAGTTAAAGAATTTTCTTAATTATAAATCTATTGTGCTTAAGGGAAACCTGGAAGCTTTACTAAGGTTCTAATTTTTAAAATTATGTGCACCACCTTATTTATATTTTCTAAATGACTATTCCTAGTGGGAAATAAATACAGTGACACAGTTATGTCTTCACCTGCCAACCAACACCACAGTTATAGTCCAAGAAACTGTATTTTATGGTACATGGGTTCAATATTTACGTTTCCTCCTTCTTTGTAACAGAACTTTGAGAAATGTGCCCAACTTAAAAAAAAAAGAAAAGCCGTTTTGCAGCTTTCTTTGCAGAAAGAGTTGACCAATGAGGTATCAATGGAAGTTTTTATGTCCAGCTTCTGGGAGAGCCATATTGCCCTCTCTTTCCTTTCCTTCTAACTGAAATACCGTTCTGATACCTGACATCCAACCACCATCTTGGACTACTGAGGAGAACCTGAGGATAGAAGTCATTCACTAAAATGGCTGGAGAGGAAAGAGGGAGGAGCCTGAATCTAAGGATGGTGGAGCTTCCATTCCAACTGTTGACCACCTACCTTCTATCTTCATTTACTCCAGAGACAATTAAACTATAACTTGATTAATTGATTAAACCATGTTATTTGAGTTTTCATACAACCAAGCCTAGTCACAACTAATATAGCCATGTTATAGCTATGAGACTTTTAGCAACTCATTTCTCTATACCTCAGTTTACTCATCTGTAAAAATGGACCCGATAACAGTATTGACTCAGAGACCTGTTACAAGGATTAAATGAGTTAATATATGTAAAGAGCTTAGAATTGTAGCCAACACAGACTAAAGGCTCAATGAATCCTCTATTGTTATTATTCACTTGTACCACCTATAATATAACACCCGCAGAATAAATGAGAAAAGGAGTATGAAGAGGAGAAATCACATTTCCCATCATCTTCTTCAGAGATGAAAGACCTGGGTAAAGAGCATAACGAAACGCATAACAAATCATACTTCTCAATTAAAAGCACTTTGCAGATTACAAGTCATTCTGTAAGGATACTTGAGTTGTTCTAATCCTTACCAGAGCTCTGAGATGAGGGTGCAAGTCGAAACTTGCTTGAGTTAACAGGTCATTTGCTGGCTGGTTCAAGAGCTGGAGTCCCAAGTTCACTGTTCCAATAAAGGCCAAGTTGGCTTTGTTCTAGTTCATGACCCTAGACAGTACAATATACTTAGTTTTGGTTAATTGTCCTCTGAATAGGATTCTAAATTTAAATCGTGTGGGATAAGACATGAGGAGGTCTGAGCCATGCTCCTGAGAAACTCCAGGCATCTGCCCTCTCCTGCTGTGATTGGCTACACCTGCCAGCAGGTGTGTGGGGGTTGTAACTAAGTCTTTTTGATTTTTAAAGGGAAATTTCCTGAATTTTTTCAAGAAATCTATTTTTCCCCCAGCTAATTTATTTAAAAGCCTCTGAGCCTTTGGGTCTTAACTTTAGGATGACTCTCCAGTGAGCTCTGCTCACATCTTAATTTAATAATAACAGCTAATATTTTTTAAGCACTCATTATAGGCAAGGCACCATTTTAAGTGCTTACTGATATCATCCTACTTAATCCTCACAAAACTTTGCAAGGTACTGTTGTATTTGCCTTTTAGAGATAATCACCCTGAGGCACAAATGGTGAAGTGACCTACTCAAAGTCATTAGGAGAGAAGGTGGCAGAGCCAGGTGACTCCATGGTCCTAGCCACCACCCACTACTCTTGTCTCATATTTAAAAACTGTCCACTATCTGCCTTTACTTTTCAAGGCTCAACCACTCAGAAGGGCCTGGGTGTGTTTCTTTGCTCAGGTGCCTTTGATTGTGGTCATATTTCAATCTTGTTATTCCACATGCCAGTCTTTCATTACTCACAAAAGATAATAAAATCCCTTAGGTGATGTCTTCCACTGCATCAGCTACCCAGGTTGTTCTGTCTTCCATGCCAGAGGCTTGTTGCTTTTGGTTGGTCCTTCCTTCATCTCAGCTCACTATCAAACGCCCAGGAGAGCCTCTGGCTCGTGACTCCAAGGCCATTTCTCCAGGACTTTTACTTCCGTAATCTTCCTCCCTTAAACCCATAATGTAGTCTAATATAAGAAAAGCTTCAAACAAATCCCAATTGAGGGGCATCCTACAAAATACCTGACCAGCACTCCTTAAAACTGTCACAGTCATCAAGAACAAGGAAAACCCGTGAAAGTGTCACCACCAAGAAGAGACATGAGAATTATTTGTAACATAGTATCCTGGATGGGATCCTGGAACAGAAAAAGGACACCAGGTAAAACCTAAGGAAATCTGAATATAGTTAATCATAATGCATCAGTATTGGCTCATTAATTGTGGCAAATGAACCATGCTAATGTAAGATGTCAATGAAAGGGAAACTGGTGCAGAACAGTTGGGAACTCGCTTTACTATATTTGCAATTTTTCTGGAAATCTAAAACTTTTCTAAATGAAAAAGTTTATTTTTTTAAAAAAGTATATGCCATGTAGTAAAGTCCTGTCCTATTTGTGAGATTCTACTGGGCTGGCTAATATACCATCTTCTTCGTAAAAACCTTGAACCAAACACATCCTTCTCTCCTCTGAAGAGCTTAGGGTACTTTATAGAAAGGGATATATGTTTTTATTGTTTCTACTGATCCAGGTGGCAGCTTTTATGATTCCTGGGTTGTACAGTAATGATATCTGCCATAGGGAATGGCTTACTAAAGGTCACCAGAATGGCACCATAGCTGGGTGTGGAGCCTTGTATGACACCTGTCCCAGTGCCATTCCAGGCTGGGCAGGAAACTGGCTCAGATGAATTCAATTCCATTCAATTCAACAAATATTAACTAGCACCTACTATGTATTGTAAGCACTGGGAAACTATTACGTTGGTGCAAAGGTAATTGCAGTGCACAACCGCAATTACTTTTGCACCAACCTAATAAAACCGAAAACGATTCTGTTTCCTGCTCAAGGACAGTGTGGTGTAATTGGGGAGAGACAAATATATCATTAGACAATTTCAGTACAAGAAGTTACATATCATGGCAGATGTGTAAAAGGTGTTGAGGGCGCTTGGGAGGAAAGATACCTCACCAGGCAGGAGGTGGGTATTGAGCCCTAGGAAAAAAGTCTCAGCCTGAAGTGCAGGTGAATCCTGGTTAGGGGGAAATGTGTTTTAGTTCTGTAGGGGCTCTGCTATGTCTGATTTCTTAAGACTTGATGGCTCTTCTGAAGAGTTTACTCAATAGCAGTAGTGGGACTACATTAAACCCAGTTTTCCTGGCAGGGCATAAATCTTACTTTCAGGGCCTCAAGTTTTGTGAGAACATGAAAGCGCTTCGATATATATGAATAGCAAAATCATGGTTCAAAAAACTTGGCTTACTCTTGTGTCTCTGAGGTGTGAACAGGGAAGGGAGATTTGCGCAGGATTTTGTGGACTGTAAAATATGCTGGCACTCCTAGGAGGGTGGTAACAGGCCTGAATTTCCTGTTTATACCTTTAGGAGTGATTAATCAGGACAATGGAGATTAATGCTATTTTCTTATACCCTTTGATAGTAAGGCATAGGCGTTTTTCCCTTAGGCTGTGAACCAGATCTGGGGGACACTTCCTGGGTCCCTTCCCTCCCTGTGAGAAATTTAATGAGCCACATTCTCATTAGACCACTAGGTCTAAGTTTGAGGCACTGTGCAAAGTGAATTTTGCAAACATGAGAGATTTTTTCTTTCTTTTCAGTAGTAAGTCACTGCATTAGAGAAGCAATTTCCTGATATGGAGGTTCCAAATAAATTGTCTGTGCTGTCTAAATGTTTTTCCAGATATTTTGAAATTATTTGCTCTCTTTCCGTGCCATTCTGTGAGGGATGAAGAGCAGCCAGCTGTTGGGTCCTCTTCTCCTGCTTGCTGTCAGCACCACTTCCCCTTCCTTCATCCTAGGAGGTCCATCTGTCAAAGGCAAATGCCCACAACATATTCTGAGACAGTTAACATCCTTCCCTTCATATCTACTTTCCTAAGCTAAGAAGAGTAAAGAAACTATTTGCTTGGCTTTATTCAGCACCTTGCGTCTCACAGGCTGCAATTCTTTGGTAAATTACACCACTAATTGTTTAGCCATCAGGGAAAACTGGTCTTTTATAACATTTTCCTTTTCTGAGTCTCCCTAACACAATGAAAAGGCCCTAGTGTCCAGACCAGGATTTAAAAAGTGGAGTCTGGGGGGGTAAGTTTACAATGCTTGGGGAAGAAAAAGGATACTCCACGACTGAGAAAGCTAAGCCAGGAGGGGTACTTGAGCCCAGGAGTTTGAGGTTACAGTGAGCTATGATCATGCCATTGCACTCCAACTTGGGGCAACAGAGCAAGACCCTGTACCTGTGTCCAAAAAAATAAAAAGGATACAATGCAAGAACATGATTTTTTTTTTTCTTCAGACGGAGTTTCGCTCTCGTTGCCCAGGCTGGAGTGCAATGGCACGATCTCGGCTCACCGTAACCTCTGCATCCTGGGATCAGGTGATTCTCCTGCCTCAGCCTCCTGAGTAGCTGGGATTACAGGCATGTGCCACCACGCCCAGTTAATTTTTTTGTATTTTTAGTAGAGACGGGGTTTCTCCATGTTGGTCAGCCTAGTCTTGAACTCCTGACCTCAGGTGATCTGCCTGCTGCAGCCTCCCAAAGTGTTGGGTTACAGGCATGAGCCACCATGCCTGGCCAAGAACATGATCTTTAAAGTGGACATAGACTAGCTAGGAATTAGGAAGAACTTCTTAGTATCTAAAAAAAAAAAAAAAAAAAAAAGACAGTAACTGACCAATATCTACAACTGCCCAGTATCTACATTTTTGGTGGGTAAAAAGCACTGAACAACGATTTATTAGACAGTGTTCATATCAGAAGATGTTTTCTTCCATAACTTATTTTGACATGGTTTAGTGTCTCATTGCTATCACTTTATTATATAAATGACCATTAAATTACATTAAATCTTGAAAAGATGGACCTTGATTTTATATCTGGACTGAGTGATAAGAAATGGATTTATATGCTCTTCTGCATTTTGTGAAACTGGCCACAAATCAGAGGAGTACAAACAGAATTATTTTGAAATGACTTATAAATATTTTATACATTATTGTTTTTAAGAGGAAGTAATTTTCCAGCAGAAATGGCCAACAAGATTATCTGATTTCTCCAAGAAGCATGAATTGCGTATCTACCATGTACTGTGTTTACCTCCTAGAAATTAAAAAATGAGTAAATCAAAGATACTGACACCAAGAGCTCACAGACTGCTTGGGAAAATAGAGAACAAACAGAATTACGGTACAATGTGGTAAGTATTGTAATAAAGGCACACAGTCAGAACTAGGAAGCAAGAGGAAGGCAGGCTTTATAATGGGCTGCCCGCTCCTTCTGCCTAGATCTCCTGGGGCAGGTGAAGCTTGACTTTTAAATTGAGAGTTGAATGATAAGTAAGAGTTCAAAAGGGCAGGTAAAGAGAATTAATTCTAGGCTAAGAACCACCTGTGCAAAGGCAGTAGGGTAGAGAGTACAGTGCCTTCAGGTGTTAGATACTTTACTATCATTGGGTTGGAGAGAGGCAGTTACCAAAGATGAGGCTGGAAGAGTAGGCAGGGCATAGATCTCCAAGGGTCTTTTAAAGCATGCCACGGAGGCAGACATTACCCTGTAGACCAACACTTCTTAAATTTTAATGTACATACGACTCATTTGGGGACTTGTTAAAATATAGATGCTAGCTTGGCACAGTGGCTTGCACCTGTAGTCCCAGCTACTCAGGAGGCTGAGGCAGGAGAAGCGCTTGAGCCCAGGAGTTCAAGGCTTTATTACACTATGATCATGCCTATAAACAGCCACTGCACTCCAGCCTGGGCAGCACAGATAGGTCTCACGTGGGGCCTGAGTGTCAGCTTTTCTAAAATGCCCCAGATGATGTGCTGCTACAATAAAGTTGGTCTACAGACCGTGTGATAAGTAGCAAATATTTACAAATTACAAATTCCATTACCTGGAATGAATTCTATGTACTAAGACATACCTTCAGCCCTTGAGAGGAACTGGGACATGATTCAACTAGAGCTAGGTGAATTCTGCCTATAAGTTGCCTCCTGGGTTTACTGTGGGTGCCCTACAAATGCAGTAATTTTTTTCTACATGTTCTATGATGTGAAGACAGTGGGGAAGCAATGTAACACAAATAATCCAGTCAGTACTATAAGAACCACAATTTGGCTTTTTTGGCTGTGGGGAGAGGAGTAGAAACAGTCCCAGTTACCCAGAGCAGCTGATATTCATTGTCAGCATGGCCCAGAGCCTTTTTCCCCCAGCAGTAATCATTTGGAGGTTGAAATCTTGGCTCCAGTTCACCTCTGCAGTGGGACTTAATTCATGCCAGACTGTGGTGGTTTCTGTAGCAGTCCAACTCTGCCAAGGCTCAAAGTCCAAAGATTCTCTCATGCTGTGGCAACAAAAGAGGAGCAGAATTAAAACATAAAACTCTTGTTCTATGACCTTTCAGCTATTATTGTTTAATTATTTTTATGACATTATAAGTCATTTTGCCAAGTCACTCCTTAGCCCTTTTTCAAAATATGACAATGATTATTAACTTGGTCTCTTTTCCTAATAACCTATAATAGATATTTGGAATAGAAAAATGTCAGACTGTATCAAATGAAAGACATTTGAATTTCTGTGGAGTCAGTTGGTCTTTAGGCTAACATTGTATATAAGTATGTGTGTAGGAACATAGTCACACATATGAGATTGTACCTGCAGGTCAATTTCTAGAAAAGAAACTGCTCACAGGTGTTGCCTCTGGAGAGAAGTGGGGAATGGAAGAAGGGTCAGTTCTGCGAGATCTTCTAGGCAATACTACTTCTTTTATTCTGTTTTAAATTTTTTTTCTAATATGATGGCTTAACTTAAAAAATACAAAAAAAAAAAAAAAAGAACTGTCTCAATGACTGAAAAGTATGATAATACTTGCAGGTTTGGGTAATATAATCCCTTTCCTCTGGGTCATCTAGTATTGAGACTCTTTTTGTACTGTGTTTAAGGGGAAAAGATTAATGGCTTTAGGTCTCCTGAAGTTTAAGCCCAGGTTGCTAAATTACCTACAGTTGGTTAGTAAGGAAATCAATTTTTGAAATAAAAAAATTCCCCGTAAGAATTTTTTTCAATTGTTTCCTCAGTTGATGATTTTTGCCCTCTCTTCAGACAATAGTGAAACATAAAATGAGATGGAGCATTACAAAATGAAAAGAATTGGAGGGAAAAACATTTGTTTTTAATGCAGTCAAGTATCTTCATTGATTCCCCTCTCTGCACCTTCTCTCTCCCCCAATATGATAGAATCATACTTCATTGATTCTATGATATCTATAATATCATAGAATACTGAAGGGAAGCACATTCCAGATACATGCTGTATAGACTAGCAACATGTAATGGATAACTTACATTATGCTATTATAAATTTATAAGCCTAGAAGAAGCATTATTATCTTCCATAAATACTATGAGTATTAAACATTCAACAGTCATTACCCAGTTTGCAATCTCCTATGACTTACATAAAATTTCATCTCAAATAATTGCAGTGAAAATAGATGGCAGATGAGACGGTAGGACTAGATTGCAGTTCCGACTCAGAGCAGCATGCAGAGGCTCTCACAGTGAATTTTAGCTCCAGAATGACTGTAAGAACAAACCAGAAATCCAGAGAGGACCCATAGAACCTCTGAAGAAAATAGACTGCTCCTGCAGGACCCAGGAGACATCCAAATAATGTGCTGGCATCCATGTCTGAGAGATCTATTGACAGTTCACATTGCAGGACTCTGTGAAGACAACCCCAAGTACCAGCCTGGAGCTGGGTAGACTTGCTGCATGGCTAGACCTGGAAGAGAGATAACAATCACTGCAGCTCAGCTCACAGGAAGCCACATCCACAGGAAAAGGGGAAGAGTACTACATTAAGGGAATACCTCATGGGACAAAAGAATCTGAACAGCCTTCAGTTCTAGACTTTCCCTCTGACAAAGCCTACCCAAATAAGGAGGAACCAGAAAAACAACTCTGGTAATATGGCAAAACATCTCTGCTAATATGACTCTTTAATATCCCCCCAAAATCACACTAGCTCATCAGCAATGGATCCAAACCAAAAATGTACCTGATTTACCTGAAAAAGAATTCAGGAGGTTAGTTATCAAGCTAATCAGGGAGTCATCAGAGAAAGGCAAAGCCCAGGGGCGGAGCAAGATGGCCGAATAGGAACAGCTCCAGTCTCCAGCTCCCAGCGCGAGCGACACAGAAGACAGGTGATTTCTGCATTATCAACTGAGGTATTGGGTTCATCTCACTGGGGAGTGCCGGACAATCGGGGCTGGTCAGCTGTTGCAGCCCGACCAGCCAGAGCTGAAGCAGGGCGAGTCATCGCCTCAGCTGGGAAGCAGAAGGGGGAAGGGAATCCCTTTTCCTAGCCAGGGGAACTGAGACACACAACACCTGGAAAATCGGGTAACTCCCACCCCAATACTGCGCTTTAAGCAAAGGGGCACACCAGGAGATTATATCCCACACCTGGCTGGGAGGGTCCCACGCCCACGGAGCCTTCCTCATTGCTAGCACAGCAGTCTGCGATCTAATCGCAAAGCAGCAGCAAGGCTGGGGGAGGGGCGCCCGCCATTGCTGAGGCTTAAGTAGGTAAACAAAGCCCTGGGAGGGTGGAGCTCACAGCAGTTCAAGGAGGCCTGCCAGTCTCTGTAGACTCCACCTCTGGGGACAGGGCACAGCTAAACAACAACAACAACAACAACAACAACAACAAAAAGCAGCAGAAACCTCTGCACAATGCAAGCGACTCTGTCTGACAGCTTTGAAGAGAGCAGTGGATCTCCCAACATGGAGGTTGAGATCTGAGAACGGACCGACTGCCTGCTCAAGTGGGTCCCTGACCCCTGAGTAGCCTAACTGGGAGACATCCTCCACTAGGGGCCCACCGACACCCCACACCTCACAGGGTGGAGTACACCCCTGAGAGGAAGCTTCCAAAGCAAGAATCAGACAGGTACACTCGCTGCTCAGCAGTATTCTATCTTCTGCAGCCTCTGCTGCTGACACCCAGGCAAACAGGGTCTGGAGTGGATCTCAGGCAATCTCCAACAGACCTACAGCTGAGGGTCCTGACTGTTAGAAGGAAAACTAACAAACAGGAAGGACACCCACACCAAAACCCCATCAGTACGTCACCATCATCAAAGACCAGAGGCAGATAAAACCACAAAGATGGAGAAAAAGCAGGGCAGAAAAGCTGGAAATTCAAAAAATAAGAGCGCATCTCCCCCTCCAAAGGAACGCAGCTCATCGCCAGCAACGGATCAAAGCTGGATGGAGAATGACTTTGACGAGATGAGAGAAGAAGGCTTCAGTCCATCAGACTTCTCAGAGCTAAAGGAGGAATTATGTACCCAGTGCAAAGAAACTAAAAATCTTGAAAAAAGAGTGGAAGAATTGATAACCAGAATAATTAATGCAGAGAAGGCCATAAACGAATGGACAGAGATGAAAACCATGACACGAGAAATACGTGACAAATGCACAAGCTTCAGTAACCGACTCAATCAACTGGAAGAAAGAGTATCAGCGATTGAGGATCAAATGAATGAAATGAAGCAAGAAGAGAAATCTAAAGAAAAAAGAAGAAAAAGAAATGGACAAAGCCTGCAAGAAGTATGGGGTTATGTAAAAAGACCAAATCTACGTCTGATTGGGGTGCCTGAAAGTGAGGGAGAAAATGGAACCAAGTTGGAAAACACTCTTCAGGATATCATCCAGGAGAACTTCCCCAACCTAGTAGGGCAGGCCAACATTCAAATCCAGGAAATACAGAGAACGCCACAAAGATACTCCTCGAGAACAGCAACTCCAAGACACATAATTGCCAGATTCACCAAAGTTGAAATGAAGGAAGAAATCTTAAGGGCAGCCAGAGAGAAAGGTCAGGTTACCCACAAAGGGAAGCCCATCAGACTAACAGCAGATCTCTCGGCAGAAACTCTACAAGCCAGAAGAGAGGGGGGCCAATATTCAACATTCTTAAAGAAAAGAATTTTAAACCCAGAATTTCATATCCAGCCAAACTAAGTTTCATCAGTGAAGGAGAAATAAAATCCTTTACAGATAAGCAAATGCTTAGAGATTTTGTCACCACCAGGCCTGCCTTACAAGAGACCCTGAAGGAAGCACTAAACATGGAAAGGAACAACAGGTACCAGCCATTGCAAAAACATGCCAAAATGTAAAGACCATCAAGGCTAGGAAGAAATTGTATCAACTAACGAGCAAAATAACCAGTTAATATCATAATGGCAGGATCAAGGTCACACATAACAATATTATCCTTAAATGTAAATGGACTAAATGCTCCACTTAAAAGGCACAGACTGGCAAACTGGATAGAGTCAAGACCCATCAGTCTCCTGTATTCAGGAGACCCATCTCACATGCAGAGACATACATAGGCTCAAAATAAAGGGATGGAGGAAGATCTACCAAGCAAATGGAGAACAAAAAAAAGCAGGGGATGCAATACTAGTCTCTGATAAAACAGACTTTAAACCATCAAAGATCAAAAGAGACAAAGAAGGCCATTACATAATGGTAAAGGGATCAATTCAACAGGAAGAGCTAACTATCCTAAATATATATGCACCCAATACAGGAGCACCCAGATTCATAAAGCAAGTCCTTAGAGACTTACAAAGAGACTTAGACTCCCATACAATAATAATGGGAGACTTCAACACCCCACTGTCAACATTAGAAAGATCAACGAGACAGAAAGTAAACAAGGATATCCAGGAATTGAACTCAGCTCTGCAGGAAGCAGACCTAATAGATATCTACAGAACTCTCCACCCCAAATCAACAGAATATACATTCTTCTCAGCACCACATCACACTTATTCCAAAATTGACCACATAATTGGAAGTAAAGCACTCCTCAGCAAATGTACAAGAACAGAAATTATAACAAACTGTCTCTCAGACCACAGTGCAATCAAACTAGAACTCAGGACTAAGAAACTCAATTAAAACCGCTCAACTACATGGAAACTGAATAACCTGCTCCTGAATGACTACTGGGTACATAACAAAATGAAGACAGAAATAAAGATGTTCTTTGAAACCAAGGAGAACAAAGATACAACATACCAGAATCTCTGGGACACATTTAAAGCAGTGTCTAGAGGGAAATTTATAGCACTAAATGCCCACAAGAGAAAGCTGGAAAGATCTAAAATTGACACCCTAACATCACAATTAAAAGAACTAGAGAAGCAAGAGCAAACACATTCAAAAGCTAGCAGAAGGCAAGTAATAACTAAGATCAGAGCAGAACTGAAGGAGATAGAGACATAAAAAACCCTCCAAAAAATCAATGAATCCATGAATTGGTTTTTTGAAAAGATCAACAAAATTGATAGACTGCTAGCAAGACTAATAAAGAAGAAAAGAGAGAAGAATCAAATAGATGTAATAAAAAATGATAAAGGGGATATCACCACCGACCCCACAGAAATACAAACTACCATCAGAGAATACTATAAACACCTCTATGCAAATAAACTAGAAAATCTAAAAGAAATGGATAATTTCCTGGACACTTACACTCTCCCAAGACTAAACCAGGAAGAAGCTGAATCCCTGAATAGACCAATAGCAGGCTCTGAAATTGAGGCAATAATTAATAGCTTACCAACCAAAAAAAGTCCAGGACCAGATGGATTCACAGCTGAATTCTACCAGAGGTACAAGGAGGAGGTGGTACCATCCTTCTGAAACTATTCCAATCAATAGAAAAAGAGGGAATCCTCCCTAACTCATTTGATGAGGCCAACATCATCCTGATACCAAAGCCTGGCAGAAACACAACAAAAAAAGAGAATTTTAGACCAATATCCCTGATGAACATTGATACAAAAATCCTCAATAAAATACTGGCAAACCGGATCCAGCAGCACATCAAAAAGCTTATCCACCATCATCAAGTGGGCTTCATCCCTGATGCAAGGCTGGTTCAATATACGCAAATCAATAAACGTAATCCAGCATATAAACAGAACCAAAGACAAAAACCACATGATTATCTCAATAGATGGAGAAAAGGCCTCTGACAAAATTCAACAGCCCTTCATGCTAAAAACTCTCAATAAATTCGGTATTGATAGAACGTATCTCAAAATCATAAGAGCTATTTATGACAAACCCACAGCCCATATCATACTGAATGGGCAAAAACTAGAAAAATTCCCTTTGAAAACTGGCACAAGACAGGGATGCCCTCTCTCACCACTCCTATTCAACATAGTGTTGGAAGTTCTGGCTAGGGCAATCAGGCAAGAGAAAGAAATCAAGGGTATTCAGTTAGGAAAAGAAGAAGTCAAATTGTCCCTGTTTGCAGATGACATGATTGTATATTTAGGAAACCCCATGAACTCAGCCCAAAATCTCCTTAAGCTGATAAGCAACTTCAGCAAAGTCTCAGGATACAAAATTAATGTGCAAAACTCACAAGCATTCTTATACACCAGTAACAGACAAACAGAGAGCCAAATCATGAATGAACTCCCATTCACAATTGCTTCAAAGAGAATCAAATACCTAGGAATCCAACTTACAAGGGATGTAAAGGACCTCTTCAAGGAGAACTACAAACCACTGCTCAGTGAAATAAAAGAGGACATAAACAAATGGAAGAACATACCATGCTCATGGATAGGAAGAATCAATATCGTGAAAATGGCCACACTGCCCAAGGTAATTTATAGATTCAATGCCATCCCCATCAAGCTACCAATGACTTTCTTCACAGAACTGGAAAAAACTGCTTTAAAGCTCATATGGAACCAAAAAAGAGCCCGCATCTCCAAGACAATCCTAAGTCAAAAGAACAAAGCTGGAGGCATCACGCTACCTGACTTCAAAGTATACTACAAGGTTATAGTAACCAAAACAGCATGGTACTGGTACTAAAACAGAGATATAGACCAATGGAACAGAACAGAGTCCTCAGAAATAATACCACACATCTACAGCCATCTGATCTTTGATAAACCTGAGAAAAACAAGAAATGGGGAAAGGATTCCCTATTTAATAAATGGTGCTGGGAAAATTGGCTAGCCATAAG